CAAAATCTTCATTTGTAGAGTTTTCTTGACATAGCAATTTATTCTCCCGCGCAGGATTTAAGCCAATAGAATCCCAGGCCATTGGCTGATCCTCATGTGTAATCCCTTGTTCAGAACCATGGCTGCTGTCAACATTCTCCTCTGCATTTTGTCTCACATCATTATATAAAAGCTCTGCTCTTTTATCGTCATCGATGCATGCTGGCTCAGCATTGAGATCCGAGCCCAAATCAAATCTGGATTCATCCACAGTCCCGTGAAAAGCCACAGTTACTGCTCCTTGCTCTGATTGTTCTGCAGCGTCTTTTTTCTGCCTCTTCCATTTCTTCGTAGACGAAGTACCATCATCCTCAAAATCTTCTTCTTCTCTTTCTCTATGTAAGTAAACCCATAATTTCCTTTCCCCATCAAACTGTACACAAGGATCCCGTTCATAATGCAAACGGTCTAAGGCTCCACTCACAACTTGATTAACCTGTGCATCTGACACTTCCTCAACAATATACTGTGAATCTCGAATTAAAGTACAAACATCTGCTCTAGTGCCAATGCTTCCTGGCAATCTAGCGGCCGCATCTCTCACAAGACAAAGAATGGTAACATGGGGTGGTCGATTGCGTTTCAGCATGAAATGGTCTCGAGCTTTTGAAGTTGGCTTCCCACCACATCTTCTCAAGGGAGCAACAATAGATTTTTTACCATCGGCAGCAGTGTAACAAAAGGCCCTGTCAGGAATTGAATATCTAAGAACTTCCTCCTTACGAAAATAATCTCTCACTTCTTCAGAACTTGGGCTTATAGTGTTGAGGCTCTTTTGAGCTCTTAGATCTCTGAACCTTTCTTTCTCGTCTAGGTTGCATTGCATCAATGATATCGGTGGTGCAGGAAGACTTCCTATCTGCTGAAGAGTTTCCTGGCCACTCTTTAGCCAATTTGCAAATGAATCAACCAACTTTACAAGCATCTTATGAGGAAGAATCCAAGCTTCAGGAGATGTCACCTCTTCAATGGTCTCATGATCACTTGAAATATGAGAAACGGGACCGATCCAAGACCAACATTTTGTAGATTTCTCGTATATGACAAGTGCCTTCCAACCTTTTGCCCCTAAAGGTGCTGTTTTTGATGAAAATATCTTTAGAACTCCTCTTACTAAATCTAGAAGTGGTTCTTGCGCCTCAAGAATGCAAGGATCTCCAGGATTTGATCTAACACGATTAACAATCTCCTGAATAGTGAGAGATGGCAAATTCACTTGCCCTGCATGGTCTGAGTTATTGGCATCGATATTGTCAGCAGAGGCAACCCCATTTATTCCACCTTCATGTTTTCTATTATGCTCTTCTCTAGGTTTACCAATCTCTAGTGAATCTTCTGGAAGTGTACTAATCATTGCCATTCGAACAGCTGAGAGAAGATGTATAATGGAGAATGAGAAACCAGTATGTACAGTTGGTGTAATCAATGTAAAAGGGTTTTTTTGGGGCTTGGTTTCAATCTCCATATCTATTGTGCCCATTTCTGCTGCTGGTGGCTCAGAAGTTTCATTTTTAGGAGAAACAGCACTGGCCTCCACTTTCTTCTTTCCCTTCTTCTTTGTGGAAGTAGAATCTCCAATTTGCTGCTGCAGGATGGATTTCAGATTACTATCTTCCTCTCTTCCTTCCACTTCTCTCATGTCATCCTTGGCTTTCCTTTTCTTTGTCACTGAGTTGCAACCGAGTAAAGACGCCTCAGATTTTTCACGAAGGTCATTCGCAATTGCTTCAATTCTCTGAGCCTTTCTTCCCAGTTTACTCAGACTGCTATCTTCTGCCATTAGACGTGTTTCAAGTGAATCATCCTCCTTTTCAACACCTTTCTGCTTTCTCTGAACAGACTTTGCTAAGGACCTCTGGAGTCTTTCACCAGGTTCTCCTCGTAATTGTCCATTCTTTCCTGATTTATAACTTTGTCTCCTATCATCTTCCTCAAAGTTACCCATGCCTGAGAGAGAGCCATCATCCACTATTCTAGCAGCCAAGTCATGCAAGGGACTGCTGTCACGCATCTTACCTTTCTTTGCTTTCACAGCATAGCTTTCAATTCCTGGGATATATGCATTTTCAGCAAATTTTCCCATCTTTTTGGAGTACATTATTTCATCCATGCCCCATTCATTCTCCTGCATATCTTTCTTAACAGATCTGGCTTTTTTAGCATCTCGGCCTGACTTCAATAAAGGAAATCGAGAACCATCAGTCCCACCACTAGGGTAAGAAAATTTGCTCATTGCCGAAGGCTTGCTATCCTCATCATCATATTGCTCGGATGAGTCAGATTCTGTATCTTCACCTTTTCGAAAAATCCTACTACCTTTTGATGCAGTCATATCTGGTCCTCCATTTTGCACAAAGTTCCCTCTGATATTTTCCTGTGATGATTTCACTCTGAACTCGGTATTCAAGAACCTATCACTCATCTGTGGGGAAGACGCTTTATAAGATTTAAAACTGAGATCGGGGGACTCCCTTCCTGACTTCCATTTCTTGCTTCTATTATTCCAATCTTCAGGTTTGAAAGATGAATCCATGGAGAAAGCATCTCCAGGGATCTTGCCATGCCGATACAGTTCACTACGATCTGATAAATCAACTAGACTTCCTCTGACAGGTGGCTGAAGACCACGCCCTCTCAGAGTTTTCATTGGATCCCCAACTCCAAATTTCTGAACATTTTCAGGATACTTACCCTTTTTGACAACATCATACATGGTTCTCAGATTAGTTGCCTTTGTACCATACATCTTCACCTCTGGTAACAGATTTGTATTTCTGTTTCTGCCGCGGGCCTTTGAATCATTTTTTGAAGATACTGGCAAACCCACGAGACTGTCAGAAGCTAATTCCTCATCTCTAAAAAATTCATGCTTCTTTCCCACCCTCAAACCTCTATGTTTTTCTGCAGCACCACGCACAGCATTGCGTTTGACGCCCATTCCAAACAATGGGTTTTCAACATCATCATCAGTTCTCATTCGATCTCTCATCCGAAGGGCAGGCCCTGAATCATATTTCTGTCGGGGATGAGGTACCGATGAGCTATATGGCCCACTATCCATATCCAATCCTGTGAAGGCTAAAGGAACATGGCCCACAAAATCCTTCGCTGACGGTATTTTCGACCCAGCTGTCTTCAGTATACCTTTTGGATTCTGTTTCATGTATCTTGCCGTTTCCAAAGCCATTGACTGTCCTTGGGAAGCAAATTCTAAATTTGAATCCACCCCATAGGCAGAATAGCGGCCAGATTTCTTTGCAGATTTCCTGTCCTTATTCCTCCTGCTCCACATCCCATCAATTGATTCCTCCCCCTCTGATGAGTCAATCTCAAAATCTTCCATCTTCTCATTCATTAGACTCTTTTGATTCTTCATAATATTCAACACCCTGAGTTTCTCTTGTATGCTATATCCTCTACAACTCATCCAAGCATCCCTTATTTGACAAAAGTTACTAACCGCATCATTTTGATGCTTCCTCAGAAGATGATAGTGCTGCTTCCTCTGAAAGAAATTCAAACCCTCACGATACAGTGCAACTCTCGGCTCACATAGACCGCCCTTCAACATATCAAACAGCTTCTTAATGGGACTGTCAAAATGGAAATTATTACCTTCAAAAAGCTCTTTCAAGGTACGCATAAATGTATCCTGCTCCATGTCAGGCAGATACTTAGTCAGGCTAAAACGCTCCTCCTCACTCAAGCACTCATTCCACACATCCACAGACAATATATCCCCCAACCCAGGAAGATCGTACAACTCGAAAGGAACACTGCAAGTTATATTTCCAACTTGGCAGAACTCAGCCCCTGTTTCTCCCAATTCAAGCAAATCAAAGTCATCAGAACCTGCTCCGGAGTCTGCATCGTCAAATTCATCGTCGTCGTCAGAATCAACTGCCGAGCTCCGGCGTTGAAGCTCATCCTCATCACTGGACATACTCTCCCTACTACCAGGGGAAAACTCCGAATCAAACCTCGAAACCTTGAAGTTGTTCTTCTCAATCGCCATGTCACATAAACCAAACGCGGAGCAAATCACAGACTACCGAGGTTAAACCTCTTCAATTGGCAAAATTGAAATATTACCAATCGTTATTAGACAGAACGGAATCCAAACCCTAACAACCACAAAAAAAAAAAAAACGAGCAAACAAAGAAAAAAAAATAAAAAAATCTCAAAATTCGAAACCATAACCAGCAAAAAAGATTGGAATGTAAACAAACACAAAAACAAAAAAAAAACACAGATTAAATCATGTTAAGAGATTAAAATACCTCATTCGCTTGAAATTGACACCACGCCGTTCCAAAAGGATCAGGAATTGAGAAGATGCAACAAGAATCCGCGTTCGAGAAAGAGAAATAAAATGATGCGAGCTGGATGAATCTGAGAAACCCTAGCGGTAAGGCGGTTAAATATATAAATATAATCCGAGAGATGGAGAGAGATGAGGAGAGGAGAGGCTGAAGAAGACGATGGTGACGTGGCGTGGTATGGGCCGTCTGATTGGTGGTACAAACGAAAAGACCAAAAAGGGCATACACAGAAGGAGAGAGAGAAGCGCAGAGAAGAGAGGGAGGAAAAGGGTTTGGTGTAAGAGAGAAAGGGAAAGAGAAGGAGTGACTCAGTGAGTTGAGTCGCGTCGAGTTTACTGAGTTGACGGGGCCGAGGGTGAGCGAGAGAGAGACCGTTGTGAGTCTGTGCACGGTGGCCACTCAGCCGTTGGATCTGACCCCACTGAAGCCGCTTCCGCTCTTTCACCCTTACGACGTCGTTTCGTCCAGCGCGCACTTAAAAGCATATTTTGAGCCTTTAACTAGTCAACTCCAACGTTATTTAGGTGATTATATTATGCAATTTATTCCAAAAATCTGAAAAAATTAATGCACATATTCTGGGAAAATACAGCATAAAAATCTGATTACAAAACAAAACATAAAAATTGTTATTGTTCTTCTAAATTAATATTAATATATATATATTTCATTTATAAAAAAATTGATATCTCATAAAAAAAATAAATTATTTTCTAGTAGAATTTTGGGTATTTAATGAAATTTCTTTTTCTCAAAATATGAAGAGAAGCCCTATAAGATGTTGGGTTGTGAAATTTCAAGTCATTTGACTTGCAAAACAACTAAAGGATACAATATTTTAAATTACAGAAACCTAATATGTACAAGGTAGTTAAAAGAAATGCTAAATAAGAGAAGGAGGATGCAAGTACAAGGCATATATATATATATATATATATATATATATATATATATACATGATTTACACGCATCAATTTTATACTTGTCACTCTTCATATGAAGGATGCATTGTATGTAAACTTTCGTCATGTAACTATGTGCGAAAATATATAATAAGATCATTTAGTAAACTTGGAGTGACTCGTCAAATTTAAATTATGCATAATGAATAAATTTTATTTTAATAATTTCATGCTATAAAAAAAATACAAAAATATTTAAAAATTATATTTTAAAATTATTTTGTCTCAGAATTCAATATGAATATCGTATAAAATAATCTATTAACATTCATATGTATATCCTACTTCAAGAAGAGTGTGGTATATGGACATTGTCATCGCGCACGGATGTATAGGGATCTATATTAACGTTATCTAAAAAATTTTGAGTGACTCCTAAAATTGAAAGGAGCAATAAGCTTTATACATGAATAATCCATGATAAGCCAACTTTGACATTCTCCTTCATTAAAACATTTGACCCAAGATTTTAAATGCACGCAATCAGGGCAGCATACAAATGACTAATGTGTCACAAAAAGTTGTCTTTAACTTGCTTTACCAATAACGGTTGACTAAAGCTATGATGGATCGATTCAATAATGATGTACTTTTACTTGACAAATATTCTTGAAAATAATTGGATTATGAATATTTTTTTATATTTTTGTAGTTATTCTTATAGTTAACCCGAAACGTAGAAAAATAAAATTAAATAAGATCTTCACTGACATTCGTGCATTGATGAGTTATTTCCAATCACCTCAGTTATCTCTTACCAATTGTCTATTTCATTTGTTGTTCAAGCCCTATTTCTCCAAACTGTCCGTATACTCGATGCATTAAAAACAAACTTTTAGGATTAGAATCAATTAAGCCTTTAATAGAAACACATTTAATAATCTAAAATGTGATTAAGAGTTCTTAGTACTTTCAAAAGAAAATCGTAACAAATGAATAGAATTACTTTACGAACGAAAAAGAAACATGATGAAATGAGAAATACTAAAATTACGATTTTATAAATCATAAAGAAGAGTTAGATATTGAACAATACTTCTCTATAATCATACATATGAATCGGAAATTGGATCGTACTTTTCTAAAATCATAAAGAAGAGTTAAAACTTAAGTATAGGAGATTGATAAAAAGGAAGAACAAGGATACAAAGAAATCAGCAACTTTGCAAATTACAGGCTAGTTGTTTATAAGACAAAACAATGGATATCAAGAAGTCGCTCTACATACAAACTGCTCGCAACAATGCTAGAAGAAAAAGGAAGGCGAAATGGTATTAAGTTATTATTAATTGTGATTAGAAGTATTATTTAGAAATAATTAATTGAGTTTTTATTTTTATTTTTATTTTATTGTTACTAAAATATATTTATATTATGATTTTTTATTCTATTTATTGAGTAAATTTTTTAGTGATTTATTAATTAAATATTAATTTAATCTAGTTATTAATTAATTATTATGAAGACAAGTAATGTCTAAAAAGTGATTAATTTAAAGATTATTATTTATTAATTATTAAAATTTATTTACACAAAAAAATAAAAAAAAATTTCTCGATCTATTCATATACTATTTTATTAAATGTCAATTTAAAATTTTTAAATATTTTATAATCTCAAGTATGTCTCAAATATGTACGTTGTATTTTTCTATTTTAAGAATAAAAAATTAACCAACGAAACTAAAACCCAAAAATTTTTCATTTCCTATTTCCTTCATCACCAACAATATAGCTGTTTCCAATCTCCATTTTTGCTCCCTTTATATCTCTCGTATCTTCGAGAAATTTTTCGTTCAAGATTCCATTTTTCTACCGCCTCCGATCTTGTTTTTTCTCGAGAAACCGGAGAGAGAAATTATTTATTTCTTTTACGACATATACGTTTAAGGGATGGTGCATACTACAAGTGAAGATTCAACAAAATGGATGCTCGAGAGCATCGAGGTTGATCGGATGGAAGATGTGCCAATAAACGATGATGGGCAGAATTTCGTGACATTTAAGCGAAATTCTAGCCGTCAGTCTTCAATCCTCAAGAGAACATTGAGTACTGCCTCGGATAGGGGCAATTCTCATGCAGAAAGAAATGTGCCAGGAAAGATGATTGAGAGGACAACCTCAAGCGCTGCTAGAGGTCTTAAGAGTTTACGTTTTCTCGATAGAACAGTAACGAGCAAGGATTTCGATGCATGGAAATCAATTGAGAGGCGTTTCAATCAATTCTCAGTTGATGGCAGGCTTCAAAAAAATAAATTTGGCATTACCATTGGTAAAAAAACTTTTTCTTCCTTTTTAGTACCTGATTATCTTTTTCGAGGATAAGAGAATAAGAAACGATTTTTTCTTATGTAGGAATGGCGGATTCGAATGAATTCTCCGAAGAAGTGTTTGATGCCTTGGCAAGGCGTAGGAAAATCAATGCGGAAAATGGCATAACACTGGAGGAACTGAAGATATTCTGGGAGGATATATCTAAGAAAGATTTCGATTCTCGGCTTCAGATATTCTTCGACATGTAATGATTTTTCTTGGCCTTTCGATGCATTTATGTATGTATGTATATATGCTTTTCACATTAAGCAAGGAATTGTAAATATAATGATTATTTGCAGGTGTGATAAAAATGGTGATGGAAAATTGACAGAGGAAGAGGTGAAAGAGGTAAGAACAAGAAATGAAACTAACAATGGGAATCTTGTTTTTCTTCTTATTCTTCTCCTTCTTCTTCTCCTTTATTATCGATATTTTCGATGTTATAAATCAGATTTCTCATGATTGTTATGCGAAAAGGTGATTGTCATGAGTGCGTCTGCAAATAAACTCGTGAATCTTAAGCAAAACGCCGGGAAATATGCCTCGTTAATCATGGAAGAGCTCGACCCTCATAATCATGGATTCATTGAGGTTAGAAAAAGCTCACAACTTTTCTTTTTTGGGCCAAATATTCTTTACTCATTTCGAAACAAAGCTTTATCTCGACATTTGTTTTCCAGTTAAATTAAGTTTAAGTTTAGATTAACAAATCAATTAGGCAAGATTTTTTAAGCTTAGTATTAGTCCTTCCTTTCTTCTTATTGTTGTGTTTGTTTAATCTCTATAGATGTGGCAATTAGAAGCTCTATTAACAGGCAAGGTGAACCTCGAAGATACGGAGAAATTCAACAAAAGATCGCATTCAATTGCGAAAACCATGATCCCGGAAAAATACAGAACTCCTATTAGCAGATTTTTCTCCATAGCAAAAGAATTGGCACATGAAAACTGGAGGAAAATATGGGTTATCACATTATGGGCATTAGTCAATTTAGCACTTTTCTCTTGGAAATTTGAGCAAGTAAAGAAATCAGCAACTTTCCAAATTACAGGCTACTGTGTCAGTGCAGCAAAGGGTTCTGCTGAAATACTCAAATTCAACATGGCTCTAATTCTTATACCAGTCTGCAGAAGAACCCTAACCGCACTTAGATCAACATTTCTCAACCAAATTATCCCTTTCGACGACAACATAAATTTCCATAAATTGATTGCTGCCATTATAGCAATTGCTTCTGCTGTTCATACAATCTTCCACCTAACGTGTAACTATCCGATATTGAGTACGTTTCCTCGAGATAGATTTATGGAGATTGCAGGACCTGCCTTTGATTTCAGACAACCGACATACGGGGACTTAATGCTGACTAATGTATCGATTACCGGAGTTCTTATGATCCTCATAATGGGCTTTTCATTCACATTGGCAATTCATAAATTAAGGAAGAATGTTATCAAGTTACCTTGGCCATTAAACAATTTGGCTGGCTTCAATTCCTTCTGGTATGCACATCATTTGCTGGTTTTGGCATATCTCCTTCTAGTTCTCCATGGCTACTTTCTCATAATTGAGCAGCCCTGGTTCAAGAAGACGGTACACAAAATTCTGGATCTTTACATACTATTCAATCATCCAACTCTAACTCTAATACATTTAAGTTTTCCTATATGCAGACATGGATGTATATCATTGTCCCAGTTTTATTTTATGCAAGTGAAAGGATTATTTCGCGGTATCAGGAACGTAATCATCGTGTAAACGTCATTAAGGTCAATGATCATAGAGTCAGAAATCCGTTTTTATCCAATGAATTTGATCATTGGAAACCGGACTGATAAATCATCTTTACGCTATTTGTAGGCAATAATATATACAGGAAACGTTCTAGCATTGTACATTACCAAACCTCCAGGATTTAAATATAAAAGTGGGATGTACCTGTTTGTCAAGTGTCCAGATCTGTCAAACTTTGAATGGTAAAAATCTGAACTTCACATGATTTAATGCTGAACTGAAATTTACCCACATATGAAACAATATTTCTATGGCTAAATAATTTATGTTTTGCCCTCTTCCAGGCATCCTTTCTCAATTACTTCTGCACCAGGAGATGATTATTTGAGTGTTCATATTCGAACACTCGGTGACTGGACTTCAGCACTCAAGAACAAATTTGAAAAGGTGATTGCCATGAAAATAAATGCTTGATTGTGATCTGTTCTACAAATTTGGATTCAATATGGAAAATTTTGAAAATTTTTTTTCTGCTTCTCTGTAATCTGAGTCATAGAAATGTAGGTTTGTGAACCGCCGGCTGCTTCAAAAACCAAGGGAAGACTAATGAGAATAGAAACTAAAGCCACCGGGGATACGAACATTGAAGAATCACAAGCAAGGTTAGAAGAAGATTACTAATTCAGAAACTTACTTTTACAGCTTTCTTTGCATTATTGAAGTTTACCTCGTAAATAATAGGCGAAAATCTTATAACCAAATCAGCTCACATCCATATAAGAAATGTTATAAAACGAGAGTATTACCACTTACTTCTGGTATACATTACAATGACTTGAGATGCAAGTTACCTCGTAAAAACAAGTTTCTGTGTTTGGTGAGAATAAACTAATTTTGCGTCATAAATTTAAATTCAGAATTCTGGAATGATAATACGTTTTCTCCCTCGAACTCTAATCTTACTATGCCTAAATTTCAGAAAGTAGCAATAGTTTTGATCTCCGCTAGATGGGTCTGGTAAGCCTTTCATGAACTTGGAAAACATAAGATGGAGTAACCTATTTATATGTATTTACATATCTGTTTGTAACAGTTTTCCAAAGATTTTCATCAAGGGACCATATGGAGCTCCAGCTCAAAACTTCAAAAGATATGACGTTCTCTTGCTTGTTGGTCTGGGAATTGGAGCAACTCCATTTATCAGCATCATCAAAGACCTGCTGAACCACATCAAGCCAAATAATCCTAAATGTGTAAGTCATCATCGAGAAAATAAACCAGATTTTGACAGATTTATATTAGGATTTATCATCTTTTCTTCTTAATTTCCTCAAAGAAAAGTAATTTAACACAAAAAATGTACTCGAACGACACAGGGAGAACAGTCAGATACCGAAAGCGTTCGATCAGGGACAGGTAAAAAGGGTCCAGAGAGGGCTTATTTTTACTGGGTAACAAGAGAACAAGGCTCATTTGAATGGTTTAAAGGAGTCATGGATGATATAGCAGAATATGACAAAACTGTAAGGCCTTTTTGCTTCAATAATTATTTTCTGCTTACACATAAACTAATCGAACCGATGACTAAATTGTCTTTTCTTCACTGTAAATAATTCGTTCCATTGTTGCAGAACATGATAGAAATGCACAACTACTTAACTAGTGTTTACGAAGAAGGAGATGCCCGGTCTGCACTCATTACCATGGCTCAGAAGCTTCATCATGCCAAGAATGGAGTTGATATTGTCTCGGAGAGCCGGGTAAAATTCATCTCGTTCTTGCCACAAATTAAACCCACTATGCTAGACCAAACTTTTTCTAATTATTGATATATATTGTTGAGCTTACCAAACTTTTCTAACAATGAAAAAACAGATTAGAACACATTTTGCTAGACCAAACTGGAGAAGGGTATTCACTCAAATGGCTAGTGCATATCCATCTGCTCGGATAGGTAAGTAATCATACTTCTTATAAAAACAAGTATAGTTGAATAACAAATGTAGACAAATCAAAGTGATCTACTTCACAGGAGGTATGAATTCCGATTCGTAAGGGAATTTTTTTCTCTTCTCTCAGAAACTCTAATCCTAATACACTCGAATCTTATAAAGTAAAGTCAGATCAAAAGTATCGATTGAGAGAAAAAAAAAAAAAAAAAAAAAAAACTGTAAAACTTTGGAATCAAGAAAGATTGCAATATAAATTTAGTCACTTAACTTATTACGATATATCTTAATTTAAGCACATAACAAAGTACATAACAAAGTTGATTAGCTGATACATATTGTTTGGTGATTTGAATCATCGTAGGAGTCTTCTATTGTGGAAGTCCTACACTTGTCCAGACACTTAAGAAGCTTTGCCAAGAATTCAGCTACAACTCAACAAATAGATTCTACTTCCACAAGGAGAATTTTTGAAGAAGCAATTCCACGTACACTGTGAAAATTCAACGTAAAGATGAGATACTGAGAGACAGACGAACTGACTGGTACAATTCCAAGACAATTCAAGCCGGCCTGCACCTACCTTGAGAAACATACTGGAATCTTGCAAGAATGGTTCTGTTAGTATTTCAGGCTCCAATTTTTTTCTTGTGCTTCTAAGTGCAGAAGCCTGAAAATTTTATGGTGCCTCAGAAAATATTGTTCCCTCGTGATAATTTCCTAATGTTTATAGTAATTTAGTAGTTTTGTATAGTAATCACATAAAATTTTGTGTAATTCTTTTCGTTACTACAAAAGTGATTATTATGCAATGCTACTAATATTAACAAAATCAATACGAAGCTTTAGAAAATTATTGCGAGACTATCTATCTAAGAGTCATCAAAGTAGCATGCATAGCTACAAATTGATATACACACGTATTGTGGTGCACTTCACACAAACAATATATTAATTAACACTTAAGATAAATTAAGAGTTAATAATATAAATAATTAATTAATTTTTTTATAATTAATTTATATTTTTAAAACAATCGATTCAATTAATTACTTGTGATGATATTAGAACTAGAAATTTAGTATTCAAATTTTGACAACCTTATTTTTATTAAAAATTAATTCCATTGCATGTTCACAACTTAAATTAAAAATATTAAACTTCATAAAAGAAACCCTTGTATAAATCCTTTTTGCTACTCCTATACTTATACAGTTGTACGTAGAGGAGGCATCAATCCAATTTGCAGGAACAAAAATTTAATTTGCTGGGGGATGGAAGGACACCAAATGTTTATGTCTGGTTTTGTATTCTATGAGAAGAAACCCCATAATCAATGTGCTGTCCATCTATATACTTAACAATTAATGTGTGTGTGTGTGCGTGTGTGGCATCTGTCGAGACATGTCCGATACAAAATGCTATTCATGTAGCGTAACGATACCGTATATAACTAGGCGAAAGATAATAACCATACGACAAAAAGCTCAAAGAAGGCTTGAAACTAAAAAGAGTGTGCATGAAGACAA